TTAATGCAATTTACAAATCGAAAACGACCGCAAAGTAAATTAAAGGCTTCTTGTTCTTTAGGAAATACACCGATTACATGGACAACATCAAAAGTGTACGCTGGAATAACATTATGTTATAACATTAAACCCGATATGCACATCGCTAGTTCTTGTGGAAAAGGACGTAGAACAGTTAACAGCCTTATCAGTGTTGGCATACACCAGAACGGAATGAATCCATTAACAAGTGTACGCATTATCAAATCGGTTGTCCTCCCAGCTATATTGTATGGATGTGAATTATGGGCAGATCCAACAAAGTCATCCAAAAGCAAGCTGGAGCGAACGCAAAGGTACGCAGCTAGGAGATGTCAGGGTTTTGAAAAAACATCATCATCAGCAATAACAACAAGGGCGCTTGGACTACCGGATGTTTGGTGTGAAGTCGAAAAACGCAAATTATTCTTTTGGAATAAGTTATGCAATGCCAGTACTGACTTAGTTTGGAAAAGCCTATTTCTTATCCGAGTATGCAAGTTTGTATTAGGAAAGTACCTTTTCTGTAGTGCCAGTTTTATTAAGGATATATCAGGCACAATGTTAAAATTTGGAATACATTCGTTCTTTCATCTTTAACATGCAGTTCAAGACAATGGAAGCTCTTTGTCAAAAACGTTACAGAACAGTTTTATTTCAATGAATGGTGTTGTGAATGTGAACACAATGTGCTACTAAGTCATTATAAGTCAATACATCCGTATATGGGTCCCAACCCTCTGTGGGAATTGCTTGAAATATCCAAAACTGACATGGACACTTGCGGAATTAGTAAAGCTCTCATATAGGACAGGGGCTGATTGCGTAATTTGTAAATTGTGCCGTAAAGCAACAGACAACATAGCAAAGCACTTCCTTATACAATGTCCATCTTTATTCAGCAGTAGGGATAAGCTTTAAAATTTGATTTGTTGGAAGAAGACGACCAGGGGCCTGTTCGTTTATGCGGAACAACCGGTTTGACCGTTTATAAATGTAACAATTTCGGGTATAATTCCTGGCAGACCTGCAAATGTGTATGCAGGCCTTGCAAGGCTTTCTCAATGCTCGCCTGAAAGCAGCATCAGATTACTAGGTCCGACCTTATTTAATAAACGAACAACAGTGGTCCGATCGGTTTGACCGTTTAAACGTCATCGGAGTTGCACGCTGTGTAAGGCACATGTTTTCTGAAGTCAACAGTTTTATTGAGAAGTGAATCGAAATTTCTGAGAGGTCATTTGTACTGACCAATGTAGTATGTAAATAATCTGCAGTGTTGATAACATAACAATATGACATTTATATACCATGTTTTCTATAATTGTACGAGTTAATTATTGTAACAGTTCACTCATGTAAGACATGCAATCTCTATATGGAGGAAATAGAGAATCTGTCTGTCTGTCTGTCATATAGCTTATCGTGCTTCTGCATTACAACTGTAACACAAAAAACCTGTATTGCTAAAGACACCGACTAAAATTGTTTGTATTGGTTTCCGAAACTCCACAACAATCCTTAATTATAGCACCGTTTTATCGCTAACTCTGCTTAACCAACCTATCAACTACAAATCCACGTGCCATGAAATCAGCATGCCGTGTTGTTTCATTTACGGCCTTTTAATTATGAAGATGTAGCATCAGTTATTTTTGTTTCTATATGTACATGGTACGGATCGTCCATTAAGCAGAAGACGCTTACTTTTCCGGAACACATGGTCTTATTCTCATCGGTGATGCTTGGGGCCAAAAGGTGGAAATCCTAATAGATCTAAACTACTTTTGAAACAAAATGGGAGGTGCGTCAATCCACCAGCAGTGTTCACCACCTTGTATATAGACAGATGAGATCTGCGTCAATCCACCAGCAGTGGTCACCACCTTGTATATAGACAGATGTGAGGTGTGTCAATCCACCAGCAGTGTTCACCACCTTGTATATAGACAGATGTGAGGCGCGTCAATCCACCAGCAGTGTTCACCACCTTGTAAATAGACAGATGTGAGGTGCGTCAATCCACCATCAGTGTTCACCACCTTGTATATAGACAGATGTGAGGTACGTCAATCCACCAGCAGTGTTCACCACCTTGTAAATAGACAGGTGTGAGGTGTGAAAATCCACCAGCAGTGTTCACCATCTTGTATATAGACAGATGTGAGGCGCGTCAATCCACCAGCAGTGTTCCCCACCTTGTAAATAGACAGATGTGAGGTGCGTCAATTCACCAGCAGTGTTCAACCCCTTGTATATAGACAGATGTGAGTTCCGTCAATCCACCAGCAGTGTTCAACACCTTGTACATAGACAGATGTGAGTTGTGTCAATCCACCAGCAGTGTTCACAACCTTGTAAATAGACAGGTGTGAGGTGTGAAAATCCACCAGCAGTGTTCACCACCTTGTTTATAGACAGCTGTGAGTTGTGTCAATCCACCAGCAGTGTTCACCACCTTGTAAATAGACAGATGTGAGGTGCGTCAATCCACCAGCAGTGGTCACCACCTTGTATATAGACAGATGTGAGGTGCGTCAATTCACCAGCAGTGTTCAACACCTTGTATATAGACAGATGTGAGTTGTGTCAATCCACCAGCAGTGTTCACCACCTTGTATATACAACACCTAGTATATAGACAGATGTGAGGCGCGTCAATCCACCAGCAGTGTTCGCACCCTTGTATATAGACAGATGTGAGGAGCGTCAATCCACCAGCAGTGTTCCCCACCTTGTATATAGACAGATGTGAGTTGTGTCAATCCACCAGCAGTGTTCACTACCTTGTATATAAAACACCTAGTATATAGACAGAGGTGAGGTCCGTCAATCCACCAGCAGTGTTCACTACCTTGTATATAAAACACCTAGTATATAGACAGATGTGAGGTGCGTCAATCCACCAGCAGTGTTCACCACCTTGTATATAAAACACCTAGTATATAGACAGATGTGAGGTGCGTCAATCCACCAGCAGTGTTCACCACCTTGTAAATAGACAGATGTGAGGTGTGTCAATCCACCAGCAGTGTTCACCACCTTGTATATACACAGATGTGAGGTGCGTCAATACACCAGCAGTGTTCACCACCTTGTATATAAAACACCTTGTATATAGACAGATGTGAGGTGCGTCAATCCACCAGCAGTGTCCGCCACCTTGTATATAGACAGATGTGACGTGTGTCAATCCACCAACAGTGTTCACCACCTTGTATAAAGACACAATCCACCAGCAGTGTTCACCACCTTGTATAAAGACAGATGTGAGGGGTGTCAATTCACCAACAGTGTTTACCACCTTGTATATATACAGATGTGAGGTGCGTCAATACACCAGCAGTGTTCATCACCTTGTATATAAAACACCTTGTATATAGACAGATGTGAGATGCGTCAATCCACCAACAGTGTTCACCACCTTGTATATAGACAGATGTGAGGTGTGTCAATCCACCAACAGTGTTCACCACCTTGTATAAAGACAGATGTGAGGTGTGTCAATTCACCAACAGTGTTTACCACCTTGTATATAGACAGATGTGAGGTGCGTCAATCCCCCAGCAGTGTTCACCACCTTGTATATACACAGCTGTGAGGTGCGTCAATCCACCAGCAGTGTTCACCACCTTGTATAAAGACAGATGTGAGGTGTGTCAATCCACCAGCAGTGTTCACCACCTTGTATATACACAGATGTAAGGTGCGTCAATCCACCAGCAGTATTCACCACCTTGTATATACACAGATGTAAGGTGCGTCAATCCACCAACAGTGTTCACCACCTTGTATATATACCACCTTGTTTAAGACAGATGTAATACACACACATGTCATAGCACCTTTGGTACTGAATTTGGTAATAGATACCGTATATAAAATATGAATTTCATCATACAGCTGTTTCGTCCTTATAAGGATTATCAGTGGTTCTATGGGCTTAAAAGTTGGAGATCTAAATAGGTCTAAAGTTACTGTTGAAACATGATTGGTAGTTCTCCTTAGTTATACAAATTTAGAAAATGGAGCAGTATAGGCTGATTACAGATTAATTATGATTAAAGAGTGTACCGCATCAAACAATGCTAGGAAGATTTTAGGAAAATGTACGAAAGTAATTCCCCTTTTATCCTAATAACTTGCAATTCTCTATGAATTCCAACTAAAATGTATTGAATATCACAACAAAATTCACATATAGTAAAAACATATTTATTATTTAATTTACATCAACTGCATCATATACGCAATGAAATAAAACACATATGTGAAAAAAAAATAGTACATCGTAAATATGTGATTTTGTTATGCACACACCATTATTTCATATAAATTAATAACATAAATCTTGTAATGAAATATCGTAATTACAACATAAAGGGAATCATACCACTGTTGATATGTGATTGTTATATACACATTATTTCCTTTTATGTCAGAGGAAGTATTTCAGGTAAGGAATACAGTGTATGATACATATAAAACCAATGAAATGGGTATATTTTGTGTGCGGTGTCAGATTTGACGAAGTTGATATTTCCGTGTGATCTTTTAGCATTGGATGTACGAAATACCAATAAACATCTCTTGTACATTGATTGTGTAGTGATAAGATGAATTGTTTGTGACGTCATGGTCAGATAGCATGGTGCAATACCCTCGACGTTTTGGGATATCCACCAATCACAGCAGACCCCTGTCGTAGAAACGTAGCAGTGACGTACCTTTGGCTATACGACAACTCTAGATCTCAGGCAGACATCAATCATTGGACTATCCGCTAAAGCTTCACGTCTATACGCCAGCGGTCAAGTTGACTAGCTGGTCCCCGAGCATGTCGCGTTTGACATTTATTGTCGATCCGAAGTATCAACGTCACAGTTGTAATAATAAAAAAGTACGGATATGTAATCGTCGCTATAAGTGGACGCTGTCGGGAAACAATACGTCAATAAAAGGTCAAGGACAGTTATAAACTGGCCAGTACAAAACACCTCGTATACATAAAAGTAGCAACTGGACACCAGCTCTCCACAAGTCTGCTGAGTCCGGAAAGATCTCACTGCTATAATTTGAAACAGGTACATGTAACTGATAACCTATAATGTAGATATCACTATATAATGGTTATACTGGTATTGTCTGATTGATTGCTCCTGTAGAGACTTGCATTTAGTTAAATTATTATGATGGTTTTTTTTGTCCGCATTAGCAACATAAGGCATTTGATTATATATTATTTCTGAAACATAATAATAACAATGAACATTACATTGCAAGGTACGGATTTTCTCCGTTGTATGTTCAAATTCGACCTAACTGTGATATGCATAACATTGATTATATATCTGATTTCAATTCAAGATATATACATCATTGTAAGCTACGAAAGCCAGTAGGGATCAATTTGAAGTTTTGTCTTATCTTGGTATTACTAAACGAGTTTTCTTTGTGTTACTGGACAGTATCTATTAAGCTATCTAGTTATAAGAAGATAACTGTCGTGTATTAAAAAGATAGCTGTGATAAGAATCAAGATATTATTCATCTAGTAGCAAAAAGAAAAGGGCCTTTACTGGCTTCCGTAATATATATAAACTGCCAAGAACAATTTGAAAGACAATTCTTACTAAAGCTAGATAATATAGGATAATGTGCACTATGAATACCAACCGTAGGTATGACTTAGATTGGAGATATCTTCTATTTTACTTTTAAGTTAGTTATTTGATAGATCCATCATATATAACCCCGTGTTATGTAGAGAACGTTTGTCTTGTATACCAGTGTAACAAAGCACAGAACTTTTAATACTGATTGGTATATCGCAAATATAATAGCGAAATGATATATGTCATCACAAGATTGTCAGTGCTGTTAGTGAAGGACTACCGATGCAATGTATGTTTCAGCGCTATATTTGCTGTTGATCGTAGTAATGAAATGATAATGAATTTGAATAATATCTAAAAGTTTTATCTTGCATTTATAATCATACAAATCTTTGTTCAACAGTCGTTTTTATATTTATGTGGCAATAGCTGGACAGCACATGTTACCATCCACAATACAAACGAGTAGATACGTTTATGAAAGTTAAATTATAATGATACATGGAATTCGATTGGTGACATATATTGAAGTTTCGTTTATTAGTATGTGGTATTTCATTCGAACTTTTATTGCTTATTCAGCAGTGAAACCGCATATTCTAAAACGTCGAGCTTGCGTTCGGACGTTTATTGTCTTAGAAATGATTAAATGTGGTCACATTCCTCAATATTTATTCTATTCGTACAAATGTACAAAGAAATAAATTAAAGTAGACGATATGATTTGTTTTTGCTGTATATAGAAGTCCTTAATATGAATCAATTTGAAGCATGAATTCTACAATGCATTTGGTGAGCATAGTTGTGTAGTATTTTCTTGGTAATTTCTTCATTAGTTGAAAGTGGTCATATTTTTGACTAACTAGATATACTTTTCACTATCAAACTTGTTTCTTTGCAGATATGGGTGTGTTTCTACTTTTAACCGTGTTGGGTGTGACGTTGCTATCACAGACAGTAGACGGTCAGCAGAGACGTGCAAGACTGAGTGGAGTATTAGATAACGATGTGCAATCAATTCTATCCTTGGCGCAAACATTGGGCCTAGGAGGCATTGACAGCTTTGGAGTTGGTCCAGGGGTCGGTCTAGGGGCCGGTCTGGGTGGCGTAGGAGGCCTAGGAGGCATAGGAGGCTTAGGAAGTGTACATGCAGGTGGTTTAGGAGGCCTGGGCCTCGGTTTAGGAGGAATAGGAGGCATTGGAGGCCATGTAGGGCTTGGAGGTCATGGAGGGCTTGGTGGGCTTGGGGGGCTTGGAGGGCTTGGAGGCCTTGGAGGGCTTGGAGGCCTTGGAGGTCTAGGAGGTCTAGGAGGGCTAGGGGACACAAGTGGATTGGACATGAGAGAACTAAAAAGAGAACGAAGGAGGAGGAGGAGATTGAGGAAAAGAGTATGCCAGCAAAACTGTGTGTATAGGTACAGATCATGTATTAGTCAATTACCTCAGTTATGTCTGAGAACAGCTCGTCAATGCCTGTTCGTCTGTTAGGATGGACAGACTACTCGCGACGTTAATGTGATGGACAGGATGTTGTTCTGAGTAAACATATACACGTGTCCCTGAACCTAACTCAGAGTACAGCTGTTAATACGTAGAACAGAAAGACGGGGCGTCGAACGTAATAGCACTGATTATGTTTTGATAATACAATGATTCTACAGGACGCCGGAAAAATAAGAATGTTTATGTATTGATAATACAATGATTCTGCCGGACGTCGAAAGTAAAAGGACCATTTACGTACTGATTATATAGTGTTTTTTAGGACGCCGAAAGTAATAGGACTGCTTATGTGTTGCTTATACAATGGTTCTACAGGACGTCTAAAGTAATTTGACTGTTTATGTATTGATGAGGCGATGATTCTACAGGTTGCCTTAAGTAATTTGACTGTTTATGTATTGATGAGGCGATGATTCTACAGGTTGCCATTAGTAATATGACTTGATAATATAATTTTTGCCAAATGTATTGTGTCTGTCTTTACGTTGACTTTTCTAATTTGTTTGCGTTGCTGTTTGTTTTGTTTCATTAATTATACTTTATATAAAATGTGAATTATCCACTTCCATTGTTGTCATTTTATTCCAGTTAAAACATCCATGAAACAGGTGACAGGTAACAATACCATTGTTGTTATATAATAAACAAAATTTTAAACATATAGAGGATCTGCCATAAGCTTCCATTCATATTAGATTTATGATACTAGTTTTGGAATTTTCATGTTTGAGAGCCTCTGGCGAGCAAATATGAACAATCCAAAACGAGTATCATAAACCGTATTTGAAGGGAAACGAATGACAGATTCTTTTTATCATATAATACAAAGTAAACTGTATAATTGTAATCTGAAACGAATATTTTGCACTTGGCCGCCTCTGAAACGAAGAAAATGCGTCCGCTTCACATTGATTGTTCCTATTCGATTTTGACTTCATTTCCGGAATGATATTACATACGTTACATAAACATACTTTATGTGATGGCTTTATGACACTGCATGATACGGTATTCATATGATAAAGGATCTTACACTATTCTAAATCAACCGATCTAAATATGTATTTTACATCGTATTATATGAAGATTTTCCGTAAATATAAAATATTCCACAAATGCATAAAACCAACTTTCTTTGTAATTTTATTGACAATATATATCGTAAACCTTGATCATTGTTGGGTATAGTCTACGAAAACATAAATGTGACGTTGTTTTATTTTAAACCGTGATTTATATGGCCTATTCAAGATCGTATGTGAAAGCTGCCATTTGATACATAATGTAACTGTAATACTGTAATGTTATGAGTCTGTTGAAAAGTAACAATAATCACTTGAAATACGAAAGAAGTATTCATCTATTGGAGAAACTAAACGTGTTCTGCGCAATGTTGCCAATTTGTACAGTCAGGACGCATCAGCACTGGTGGTTAAAACAATGTAAAAAATCGCGAGTAAAGAATTAAAAAGCATATATGGACCCTACCTTATATTATCAATCACGGGTTTATATGAGACAACCAGTGAGACATTTTTATTTGACGATGACTAGTACGATATATACTCTATCACCTTCGTCAGACAAATGACAAGTAATTCTTACTTCAGGAATCAGTTATAATGGTACGAAAATGTAATCGAATCGATTCGACTATGTATTATATAGTATCTGGTTATATATCCGTGATAGTCCTTACTCTCCTCTTCTCGATGATTCATACCTTGTCTTCTGCGGCGTATCTAGACAGCTTCCTTTACCTGCTGCTTGCATAGATTACTCTTTCTGTCCACAAATTTGAAGTCACTGATGTCAGTGACATGATTAACTTGTGTGCTAAGTTCTGTGGTTGAAAAGCTATATATATGAACCTCTATTGCTTCATTTCTGATCAATTAAGCTTCTTTCTCTTAATTTTGTTTTGGTGTCTTTTCGGTGTCCGCTAAGTCTGACCCCCTAAATCAGTCTTTCTTTAGGTGTTTTATATTAGGGTATACTAGGATATTTCGGTGCGACTTGTGGGATTTCAAAAACGACTTTTTGTTTACATGAAATTTGAAAATAAATAAATATTATTCGTTTGATCATTTGAAACTTAAAGTCCATCCATCAGGCAAATGGGCCCTCTGAAGGGATTCCACATTCCGTCCTTAACTCTTTCATCGTTTATACATATCCGCACAAACATCTACAATTTATGAAAAAGGACCCGGTACCATGAAACAGATTTAAGCCGAAAACGGATAATCATTTGTCGTCGACAAAATAAAGACTTACCCTGGATGTTAATCCATTATGTAATGAGTCTGTACTAGAAATAACATCAAATGACGTTGCAAATTAGAAAATGAAAAATAATCAATTGCAGGGCTAAGTAAAGAATTCCCTTTTTAGCCAACAAGGACAAGAGAGAACTTATAAGTAACAGATGATACGGGTGTATCAGATAACTCAAATATTGTCTCAAAACAATTTCATTTCGTAGACTTCTTATTTATCTGTAATTTCGATTTTGACCTTTGTCAGCTCAGTTGATATGCGTAGCAAAAGTGGAAAGCCAACAATGATTGATACAACTAAAGTGATCCACATGCCTTAGGTGTAGGCTATGTTGTACTCTCACAATGGTATCTCTGGCGTGTCAATATCCATAGCTATAACGCAATGAAGCGGGTAATCGTGATGCAGACCTGACAGGCATGTCTAACGAGCGACAGATCACCTCCAGTTATTGATTACAGTAAAAACAACAAGACAGTAGTATTTAAGTCCAATTTTTTTAACTACATTGTTTTCTCTGCAATTTGCTCAGGTAAAGGCTGCAAGAAAAGGTAAGCATTTTATTCTATTATAAATGTATCGGGTATTGACACACATAAATGAAATTTGCATATATTTGAGAATTCTACACAGCACTTTTTAACTTAATACGGATAAACACTCTCCGTTGTTGGAGCTTTGCTAATCGGTATTTTTGTAAATTATTTTAATGTTACCTTAAAGAAGCAATTTAAAACATGTATTCATACAAGTCACAATACAAGGCTTGATGTCCTCATAACTTAGATCATACATGTTTAAGACATTATGTATATAACGAAATAGCATGTCTTGTTACGTACTATTACAAATCCTTTTACTGCCATAATGCAACGAAGATTCGGTTCTGTTTTTCTATATTGCGATTTCAGTTTAGAAATATGATAGTTAAGGTACTCTGGTTATATATAGACACAAAGGAAACGTTTAGACTGAGAATGACTATTCGGAATTTAGGAACAAAAAGGATCGTTATCATTCTCCAGGATCGCGTTTATATTACAGGACAATCATACATTGCGCCTTCATTTAAAAGGGCTATAATCACAGTAGAAAAAGTGTTAGTCGATTCGTTGTGTAGAGAAAACCACCCAGATTTTCATGTAACATGAGAAACCATTATAGTATTTTGTCTACAATGTTTCATTAAGATTATTTCACTTAAATGACAATATTATAAAGTACTTGATAGACTATTGGCAATTTTATCAGAATTTATTTAAAATGTTTCTAAATTGATGACATGAACCTCTTGCTTACTTACATCTCAATCAGTGTGTAAACTGACGGAACATTATTTACTACACACAGAAAAAGAAAAATGAGGTTCGCAGTGTGGCTGCTGTCCATCGTGGTGTGTATCTCCATTGTCACGATGAGGTCAGATGGACAATTAATTGATGGCTTCGGTCTAGACAACGATTTTGGCTTAAATCTAGGTAGATCGTATGATGGATTACATGGTCACGGGCATGGTCGCGGCAGGTATTCCCGGAGATGTCGCCGGAGTTGTTTAAGAACATACAGATTTTGTAGTCGGAACCTGTATAGCATAAGGTGTAGATCCCGAGCTAGACGCTGTCTGAGGAGCTGTCGTTACAACGGCCGGATTTAAACACTTTATACATGCTCCTTGTGTTGCATTTATGGTCATAGATGACAAAGGTGCATCTAAAATAAATGGTTTCTCTGCCTTTTTATTCGTTTGTTTTATTTCGTCGTTGTTAAAGAAAAACAATAACCTTTGAATAGCTATTGGAATGGAAAATACCACACACATGCGTTAACACCATTAACTAGATATCTGCTTGATTCTTCTTCCCTTTTGTTTCAAAACATCTTTTTCTTTTATATCGCATTTTTTGGTCTAGAACATATCTGTCGATGTTTTATTGATCAAGATAAACAGGCCCTGTTTAACACGAATTGTAGAGGTAATTGCGACCAGTCGTGTTGATTTTGTTTCAAAACATCTTTTCTTTTATATCGCATTTTTTGGTCTAGAACATATCTGTCAATGTTTTATTGATCAAGATAAACAGGCCCTGTTTAACACGAATTGTAGAGGTAATTGCGACCAGTCGAGTTGATTTTGTTTTTAACGCAGCATTTCCCAAAATTTAAGTCCACCATAAGATATAATCATTAAGACCAGTTAAATTTAAAAAAACGTTAACCGACTTACATTCCCTGGTCGTGATAAATATTTTGCCATAACCAAAACAAGGCTTGTTGCCGAAACAACGAGGGATCTTAGAAGGAAGACCAAGATCCGAAAGTGTCAGTGTTTTGAGTTATAATAACAAATTCCAGAGGAAAATTCAAGCACCTCCCGTTCTGTTTCAAGAGTACTTTACATCAATTAGAATTCTCACCTTTTTGGTCCCTAGAATCACTGGTAAGTTCTAGAAGGAGGAAACAGATGTATGGTCCAGTGGTATTCATTTTTGACATAATGTATATATTACCAAATGTTTCACATGTGTCTTCCACGTTCATATTAAAATTAAAAATGAATAAGACCATATAGATTCAAATATATAATTTGAACGGGATACTTTTCCACTTTCCTCAATAACGTCATAACAGTTTATCAGCAGAGATATCGACGACGTTTTTCTCATAATTATTCATTGGGGTTATGCCTTCATGATTTGACATGCACATACGATCAGCTTGGAATAAAGTCAACGGACAAAATTACCACATACTTCAGTCAGTTTTATGACAATCAGCCAATATGATATACACTGTATCTGATCACTTGTGTTAAATGCCAAGTGCAGTTTGTCGGGGAGACCAAAGCGACACATAATCTCAGGACCAACAACCACCGATGTTTCATCAAGCAGAAGCGCCCGGACGTCCACTAGCCAGATATTTTATCATGTCGGACGCACATGAGGAGTTGAGCATGTTGTTTCGTAACAACTATTGCCAAAGTTGGGATACAAACATCAAGAAGGAACAATGATGGATCAACAATATGCAATCGAGCTATCTACTCGGCATAAATAAAAAAAAACAACTGAACTGCCTTATCAGTTTCGGCAGGTTCCTGCTCGGGCTTGATGTGTATACTACAAAATACAATCCACTGCAACCCTCCAAACCACTTAATTACCACATGTTGATAATTAAACTATAACAGAAAATGTTATATCTATTGTCTCATTTCTTGTACTTGGTATATTGAAAGGAACGAAGACCTACTTTGCCCCTTCACAGGACCCGTTCGAGGTG